GTGATGATTCTTTTAGGAATCAAATTTCAGCTCTTTTGCGAGTTATAAATGTAACACGATTCTTCAAACAGGACAATGTTCCTTGCCAAATTGAAGAGGTAGTAGTGGGCAAGAACCCTTTTTATGGGATAATTTTTCATAAGAACCTGATTTTATCGTGAAATCCTTTTGGCTTTTCTCTTTTTCAATTTCTCAGGGTCTCTTTTTGGGCTCAATCGGAGCTGCTAATAACAAGAATGCACTCAAGAGTTCTAATATCACGCATGTCTTAACTGTCGCTAGTTCACTGAGACCTGCACATACAAATGACTTTGTGTACAAAGTCATTCCAGGTAGAGGGAATTTCTGTTTTAATGATGCGGACTTGGTTTCAATTTTGAATAACATCTTTTGAACATTTGAAATTGTGCTTATGAAGCATTGTCTTTCCTCGTCTTAGTGATGGTGTTCTTCAGATGGTAGTCTATTTCAGCTCTTTTGCTCCTGAGCAGGTAGTTACTCTTTCTAATATGTGAGAATGTTGACTACAAGAGTCAGTAACTTATTAGTACCTTTTAGCCATCGGTTTCTCATGCATAATCAATTTTTGCCAAAACATGCATTCAGCTGGATCCATATGAGCTACTATCAATTTCCTATCTTATACATGACTCACCTAATCTAAGTTCTTCAAAATGGAACCTTGTGGCTTCTGCTCACATAATAAGGCCATATTTACTCATTGATGAAAGGGCTGCTTGGGTTTTTTTAACACATCAAGAATCTTGAAGAAGCATTAACAATGTCTCTATTTTTCTCTCTGTAAATTGAGGTAGTCTTGGACAAAGAAGATACAAATATAACTCAGTACTTTGATGAGTGCTTTGATTTCATCGATGAAGCCAAATGACAGGGTGGGGGTGTACTTGTTCATTGCTTTGTCGGAAGATCCAGGAGGTAATTGTTTTCCTTTCCCATTTAAGTGACTGGGCTTCTTGTTTTAAGGAGTCTGTTTTCAGTTACCGCAAAAAGGAGCTCTACCATGACATTCACTCATAATGTGTGTTTGACATGCTGAACAAATGGCCGATCTTTTTATTTATCTTGACTAGTATTTATGCTTCTTTCCTGAATCTGGCATTCATTCTGGACACTAATCTCTTGGAACTCTAATTATTTGAATGGCTTATGAATGATTTTGGTTCATACATCTGGTCTATTAGAACTCCTGATCGACTTAATCCTCTAGGTTTTTCTATTTTTAAACTATATGTAACTTTGGTAAACTGTTGCATTTTCTTGGAAAGTTTATCTAAAAGCAAAAAAAAGTTTTGTTTCTTGGCAAGTTTATCTGAAGGAATATTCATTCCTAACTGTAAAAAACTACTTTGAATTGTTAGTCTTAAAAACTGTTTATTCCACTTGCTGTGCCATGCAGTGTGACCATAGTTGTTGCATATCTTTTGAAGAAATGTGGTATGACCCATCACTAGCGTTGGAATATGTTAAGAGCAAACGACCACAAGCAGCACCAAACTCAGGTTTTCTTTCACAATTGCAAGAGTTCGAGAAATCACTACAAGGTGCATAAATCATGTAAACTGTAATTACACTTGTCTTAGTCTTGAGTCTAAGGAAAAAAATTTACATGACAAAATCCCAAAATTGCACTCTGTTAATATCAATGGAATTCTGTGCTTATCAGAAAGTTTGTATCATCAGATTCTTGATCTCTTGGTCTTGTTGTCATCAAACATTCAAAAAGCGTCCTCAACATTGTAAAATTTTTCTAGAATATGTTTTGCAGCAGCTCGAACAGAATTGTTCTCTATTGCACATTGCAGCCCCATCCTTATGACAGGTAATGAAAGCTCCCTGTGTATCTCGGCAAGTACAAGAAATCTATTAGAGGAAGCTATATCAAGTCCTTTTCTCACCACTTTATTGTCAGAAGATCGCAAAGTCTTTGCAATGCATCCAAACAGAAGTTCAGCATTGGATTGGCTGATTTCATTTATGTTACCAATCGCCATCAGGGCTTTGATTTCATTGAGTAGAGAAGACTCACAAGTATGATCCCCACTCAGAATACCCTCAAAAATCAAATTGACCAGAGAGCCTTCCTTCTCCAAGAACCTTACCAAACACATTTGTAACCAGGAAGAATAGCTGGGGTAAGCCTTGATTCTGTGCATGGGTATCAGAACCAGCCGGAGAAAGTGGTTGTGCTCTTCTTGCAGTGGCACTGGCCACTCAGGAATCCGATCGCTAGCAAACTGCAACATTTCTCCTACCGCACTTGGTATGCAGCTCCTCCTGTCGCAGACATAACGAGACAGATTACTCCGCACAGTCCCCCAAATTGATTGCTGTTTCTTGGGGAATTTTGCCCAGAAAGTTGGCAGAAGGTCTGCCACTAAGCAAGCTTCTCTGTTGTCATCTGCTAGCACAGCAGTATTAAAAAACCAAGTAATAAACTTATCATCAATATGTTCCTCGCGTAACAACCCAGTATCAACAATTTTTTGGAGGAATTCATAGAATTTTCCCAGATGGACCCAGGCCTTTTCAACCAGTGGCCTTTTCTCTCCAGTATCATATAGATTTTCGTTCTCTATCTCATAAAAAACAGCAGTATAAGAAGGAAATGGCCTGAAAAGGTTAGCACGGAGCATCTTCATGATTCTGCAGACTGCATCATCCGGAAGAGATTCAAGAGTAAGAACATAATCGCTGATTTCTTTAAGCATATCATCCCTTTTAAATACTGTTTTGATCATATCAAGTATTTCTGTGGAGGCAACTCCGCTCTTTCTGACATCGGAAAGAGATTGCTTGGCCTTGAAGTGCTTTATGAAGGGCTTGAAGTCGAAAAATTCCGA